TTCACGGGCATGTGCAACATGACGGCAGAGTCCCAGCACTCGCCAGCCGAGGCGGCCAGTCCAGTGGTGGTGTCTCCCAACGTGAGCCTGGACTCCCCGATTCCTCTTCCTCAACCAGCGCTGAACCACCAAGCCCGAACCAAGGACGATGTTCTGATCAAAGCCGAGCCTCGGGGCAGCAGTCCAAATACAGACAGGGAGGAAGGGGTTTCATTGGGTCAAACAGAAGAACATCTGCCCGCCACTGGCAGCCGGCGGAGGAAAAGGCCAGTGCAGCGAGGTAAACCTCCCTACAGTTACATCGCGCTTATAGCAATGGCCATCGCCAATTCACCTGAGAGAAAACTCACTCTAGGCGGCATCTATAAGTTCATCATGGAACGCTTTCCCTTTTACCGCGAGAATTCCAAGAAGTGGCAAAATTCCATACGGCATAACCTCACCCTCAACGACTGTTTTGTGAAGATCCCGCGGGAGCCCGGTAGGCCCGGTAAAGGAAACTACTGGACGCTTGACCCCGCCGCTGAGGACATGTTCGACAACGGGAGTTTCTTGCGCCGGAGGAAGCGTTTCAAGCGGACTGATGTTAGCACATATCCTGGGTACATGCAAAGCTCGAGCGCTTTTACGCCCACACCTATGGGTCGACAGGCGTACCCCAACACCTTGTACCCGGGTGTAACGTCTGGCTACGGGACTCAGTTGGCTGGTTCCCCGCACCCGGCGATGCTGCATCACTATCAGGCATCGGCCGGGGTCACGCAGGGTCAGCCCAGGATGTTCAGCATCGATAACATTATTAGTCAGCAGACAGTGATGCAGAGTGGAGGAGATCTCAGCCCACAGTGTCTCTGCCTGGGTGCTGGAGACGTGGGTGCCATGACCTCCAGCTGTTCCGTATCCACCTCTGACCCAACCTGCTTTCAGACACAACCGATAAATCCCACGAGCAACATGCTGAACAGGATCACTGGACCTCTTGCTTCAAACATGACAACCAGCTACACGTACCCCTCCTCGGCTTCGCCTACTAACCTGTCCGGGGTCACGCAGTCCAGCTTCTCACCGGGAGGTTCACAGGTGTACTGTTCGGGAAACAGGATTTCGCTGGCCCCTGTGCGTTCTGGGTTGTGCGCAGATCATACAGAACCACTTTTAGGTCTCTCCGGGCCAACAATGAACTCCTACAATAATTCATATATGAGACAAGCCAATTTTGCCTCAGGACTGGAGCGATACATGTAAAAACTCCTGCACTGACAACGTGATCCACTGCTTAACTATGGCCATGAGATTGAGTTCTTCTTTGATTATGTAACAAAAGTTGTGTACCGTGTGACAGAATTAACAAGTAATTTCTGTTGTATAAAATGAATTACAGTTCTGTTATTGATATGAGGTCTGAAACATTTGTTTGGCTATATATCAGAGGACCAACAACCCCCTGAACAATGCAAATATTTTAAGCAAATAAATGTGTTTTGTGTAATAATTTTTCGTTTGTTCTCTATTTAGCTGTCGTTCAGAAAAATTTGATTCAGTAATCCAACATAATAACAACAACAATAATAGCCTACACATCATCTTGTTACTTGAATCTTCCCATTTTATGTTTAATAGTCCGTATACCGTTTAAATATTTGAAGTTATTTAACATTCGACACAATGTTTCTATTTATCGACTATTATTATTAAACCTTTTTAATAATACATTTTATTAAATAGTTCAGTCAGTTGATATAGTCTGTGGATCTTCTCTAGAGAAAGAAATCAGAATGATTTTTAATTGAATTATTTTCGACACAGGCCACGCCTAAAAAATATAATTTATGCACTATATATTTTAACTACAATCACAAATTGTGTAATCGTCCACTTATTTTGCTGGTGAGGGGGCGACATCGACTGGTTATTGGACTAAATGCAATAAAATCAAGATTTGGAGCATTTTACAAAAAATCCACTAGATGTCAGTCACCACAAAGTTTAGGCCATGACTGGGTTTAATATAATCCTAAAAACGCTAGTCCAAACACATGGTTGTCTATGAAGCACGTAGAAAACGTTTAATCACACGTCTTATCTGCAAAATCATATTATTTCCGAGAATAAAATGTTTTGGTAAAAATAGCGTTTAAAACAATACCCTACAGTCTTTCTCTATTTGTGTAGCCTGTCCTATAACTCTGTTTTGAACGTTTTCAGTTGTGTAGGCCTATACATTTTCAAAGGAGCACAATAGGCTAAACGTAACCGCGTCTCTTATGATCCACGTCAAGTGCAGTGCCATTAAATGCACTTCTTTTAAACTTTACATATTGTATTTATTGAGCATCTGTTTTTGAATTCTATTTTTCCAATTCAGAAATTCAGAATGATTTATTTATTGAATGTTCAGCCCCTCCGCAAGATGAATGTTCATGCTTGTAGGTAATTTTCATACTGGAATACTGGAGAGACAAACTCTTGTTTGGCGTTAGTTTAGTCTACTCTTAAAACACTAACGATGCACTTCATTTCTTTATTGATATGCAATAAGCCTATATAGGCTACTGGTTTGAGAAAACGGCGTGAAAAAGAAAGAAAAAGAGTGACTTCATTTAATTAAGAGCATGATTAGTTATCGAGAAACCCAGCCCGTGTCGTTGTGGTCCTCCGATTTTTTGCAGCACAAGGTCCATTTAATTACCACGACATTTTTATTTATGAATAATAGGCTACGTTTTAAGAGCCACAATACTAGTTTTGGTAAAATAAATAAAAAAAAGTGGCCTGCATGGTTATTTTTTGTTTGATTTGTTTACGGAGTTGAAGCGCGCTTCTTTTTTCATTTGTGTGGGATGCACCGTAGCACCGCTAGGTGGCAGTAATTTGGTTCAAAATGTTACAGCGTTACAGTGCGCTGTACAGAGTCCTTTTATTCCGTGTCAGCCATCAACACATCAACTGGTGAGCCCACTTAAAAGCGGCAAGGATGAAAAAAGGAAGGGGAAGCCTATTTGTCAGTTTATAGGCCAAAACCCGACGGTGATTATCTGGTTCTTTTTCAGAGTGTCGCCTGTGGTTTGCACTGACATTTATGTTGTGCAGGGACCTAGACGTGCATGACATTTCTTTCTTTCTTTCTTTTTTTTTTGATCTGTTGAGCAGACAGAAAAGAGTGTTATTAAA